GGGTAGATGGGTAGATGGCCATCATAGGAAGGGTCTTCATACCAGCTATCACACGTCCATCTCAGAATCTTTGGAGAGTGCAAAGACCTATGGTAGTAGATACGAGGGTACCTTTCTTTGTTGTTTATGAAAACTACTTCTCATTTGGTATAAGGAATACTCTAGGTTTGGGATGACCTTTGAGAAATTTTTGCACTCAGTCTAAGAGCCCAAAGCCACAGAGATGAATGTGAAGTGAATTCTAGTGCCATATCTAACATGAAAAGCATTGTTCTGGGAGATTTGCTGAGAGTATGAGATATTGATCTCGCCAAGATCATGGTTTCTAGTTTGGAAGACTGGATGGGCAATAGGATATATAAGAATTCTTCATAATTCATATTCTTTTTGTTGTTGTTGTTGTTTTGGTTTTGTTTTTCGAGACAGGGTTTCTCTGTGACTTTGTAGGCTGTCCTGGAACTAGCTCTTGTAGACCAGGCTGGTCTCGAACTCACAGCGACCCGCCTGCCTCCGCCTCCCAAGTGCTGGGATTGAAGGTATGTGCCACCACCGCCCAGCTCATAATTTATATTCTTACTATTTTTTTCACTAAAAGTTTATAATTAATTAGTCCATTTGAAAATCCTCAAAGCAGGGCCTAGAAAGACAGAGTGCCTGCTGCTCCTGCAGACAACCCGGGTTTGGCTAGCAACTCGGAAGTCACAGTCAGCTGTAACTCCAGTCCTCCAACGGGATCTGACTCCTTCCTCCGAACTCTGCAGGCACATGCACACACACACACACACACACACACACACACACACACACACAAATATACAATAAAAGTAAATAAAATCTTCTCAAAAGATGAACGACATAGTAATAAAGCTCAAAGCTGATTGCCTGGCTACTGGCATTATCAACCTCAATTAGATGCTTTAACTTTTAACTAATGACTAAAATTGGACTTCTAAAAAAATGTGTGTGGGGCTGAAAAGAGACTCATGTAGAATGAAACATCGAGGCATGCCGAAACCTGTCTTCAAACACCTCTAAACTTGGAAACATGTATTTTAGGTTACTTAAAAAAAAAAAAAAAAGATGACCCGTGCGAAGCTGTGAGCGCCTGCAAGGCAATCTCTCCCGTGTCGCCCGTGTCACCTCTCCAGAGGACGAGGAAGGAGGAGGTGATGCTGCATCAGGAAGGTTTTTCTGGAGTGACGCAGGAGACAGCAATGTTGGTGTTAGTCTCTGAAACCCACAGTAGCTTTGCTTCATGGGAGGGGTTTTATCTAATTGGGGCAAAGCTTCACGAGTAAAGAAAGGATGGTAGGGGGTACAAAGGACTTAGTGATGAGAGGGCTTCCTGTAAAGTAAAGGTTGTTTCAGGATTTGCCTGCAGAAAAGATAAAACAAATTTTTGGGGGGGGTGTTTCGAGGCAGGGTTTCTCTGTCGCTTTGGAGGCTGTCCTAGAACTAGAACTACCATAGACCCCGAATTTGGTCCCTAACACCCACTTGAGATAGCTCACAGATGCCTATAACTTCAGCTCAAGGGATCCAACACTGCCTGGCTGTGGCAGGAACCTGAACACATAGGTGTTCATATGCATATGCAGAGTCACACATACACACACAAACAGAATAATAATAAAGGAAATAATAAAAATTATTCCGTTTTGATTATATGTGCAGAAATGTGGAAAATGGGAGTTAAGTATTTTTTTTTAATTGGCTCAAGCTTGTTTTCTCCACAGTGAAGACGAAAATTTTCTGAAGCAATAGACATGTTTATAACCTACAATATTATGTCCCAGTTAATATGGTAGAAAAGAGTTGTTTTGGTTTTCTCCTGCGAACTAAAATTGTATGTGGAGTCAGAAACATGTTGGAAGGACTTCATGCTCTTTATTACTATTATTAGTTTAGTAGCTTCTTTGAAATGTCATTAAGAAACCAGCTTTTGCTATGACTGTATGCTGAATTATAGTGATATACTTTCACCTCTTTCCCAAACTTCAAATCAGGATTGTTTGAAGGTAAGATAAGCATAGCTAGTGAATGAGTAGAACTCTGTTTGGCATGGTTCATCAAATCCATTCAAATAGATAAGGGTGCCATGATGTGCAGGAGTTGTTTCTATTTTGTATAGGGCTCAGGTAGTAGGGTGCTTACTGAATAAACCTGAAGGCCTGAATTTGGATAACAGGCAGCTATGTAAGAAGCTAGGGGTGCCTGTGTGTGCCTGTACCCTTGAGCATTTCCCCAGAGCTATGTAGCTCAGTTAGTGAGCTTCGACTTCACAGAGAGATGCTGCCTCAACAAATAAGATGGAGAGCAGTATTGGAAGGCACTTGACATTGACCTCTGGTCTCCACATGCATATGTACACATGTGGGCATGCACAGATGGACACAAACAGTATCATCATTATCATCATCATCATCATCATCATCAATCTTCCTTCTCTGCCCAAGTCTGATCCACCAGTTGAAACTCTTTAAGTCACAGTTAAACCTTATTTGGGTGCCTTTCTGACCCAGAGTACTCATCCTACATTCAGTGCCCGAATGAGCAATCCTTACTTTCTTCTAGATTCCTAATGTTGCTGTGTCATTTGCCACCAACAACTTCAGTGACTTGTCACCATTTTGTTCCTTCTGTTTAATCCATATGCTTCATATGTCCATGAGCTGTATTTCTATGCACTCTTCTTAGTCTTGGAATATGTAGCGTTCTTTGCATTGATGTCCTAATCTGGTTTTTCTGATCCTGGATTTAAGCTAGAAAATATTGCTTTTTTGTTTTTGGTAGGAATTCTGGAGATTATTGGTTCCTTAAGTGTTTGATAGATTTCAGTAGTGAAATCATGGGGTCCTGGGCTTTTCTTTGATGGAAATTTATTTATTCTCAGTATCCATCATGGGTTAGTTAAGATTATCTACCCCTTCACAGTTCTTTATCTACTATTGTCAATAATACCCAGTGATTCTTTGTAATGTCCATGCTGTCTGTTATGTTTCCTGTCCCAGTTCTCATTTTGTTTGTGAGTTCTCTATCTCTCTCTCTTTTTTAGTTAGTTTGGCTATTAGTTTGCCCACTTTGTTTTGAAGAATCATTTTCATCTAGCTGATCCACATACACAAGTACAACTATATATTCATTTTCATATTTATTTCTGTAATATGTACGTGCATGCATGTTGTGCCATGACACACATGTGGAGATCAGAGGACACCTTGCTGCTGGTCACTCTTCCCTTTTCCATATAGCTTTTGGGAATCAAATTAAGGTCCTAATGCTTGGCCCTAAGCGCTGTTACCCACTGAGACAACTCACCAGCCTGTATTTATATCACCTACTTAAGGTTATCCAACTTTCCTAATCCTATTTATTGAGAATATTGCCCTCTAGTTTTATGTTTATTTATTTTGTATACAGACCCATGTATGTAATATACATAAATATATATGTCATATGCATTTACATCTATAATATTCATATACATGCTTGGCCTGTACCCTTTTCTTGCTAATTCATGATTGAGTTTGCTTTAGTTGTTATAGTTTCATGAGATGCATTGATAGGCTGTTCATTTGAGATCTTTCTGCATTTTAGATATAGACATTCTTTGCTCTCATGTATAGCTTTTACTCCATTCCATAGGTTTTAGTTTATTGTGTTTTCATTTTTAAAGTATTTAAAAATGTTTTCTCATTTAGTGTGTGTATGCATGTGTGCATATGTGTGTTGGTCATCTGCATACCTTGCTATGAATGTGGTTGTCAGAGGGCAACAGCTTGCGGGAGTCTGCTTTCTCCTTCTGTCATGTAACTCTGGCTGGTCTGGAACGAACTACGTAGACTAGGCTGACCTCTTGCCTTTGCCTCACAGATTCTGGGGTTAAAGGTGTGCAGCACCGCATACGGCACAAGGCATCTTTTGACACTGGACTACTTTATGGATTCTTAAGCTATTATATACATTTTACAGATGCATCACCTACCTGAGTGAACTCATTTCCTTTATAATCTTACTCTGGTGATTGATTGTATCTGCACTCATTTCTCCTGCATTGCCGTTTTCCTTGCTTTAGTCAGAGGTGATCAGAACATGGTAGGGAAGTGACTGTATCTCAGTAAAGAAAAAGGCACAAGGGAATCTAGAGCATGTACCAACCTAGTGCACCCTGAAGGGATTGGAATCGTTCTGAAGTTCTGATGATCGGTTCTGAGGTGTTTATAGGTCTCCAAGGGAGCCACCCTGCTTGGCCCCAGCCATGAGATACACACGGGAACCTTCTATTTTGTTCCCTTTACTTTGATCATAGCTAGCAAAGCAATCCTTTGCCATAAGACTCCTATGCAATCTTACTGTTGGCAGGTTCATTTACTTTTTCATGTCCATTCTTCCGGTTTCTACGCTGGGAGCTGGGACCCAAGATAAGCAGCTGCTATTGTCCCAGTGGTGTCCAAGTATAGACTACCCTCTGGCTTTCCCACAAGTGATGAAATAATTTTTAATGGAATATCTTCCCAGTGTGGTGATGCATGCTGGTAGTTCCAAATGATTAGGGAACTGAGAAGGGTCTCTTGCCAGCCTGGTAGTGAGAGAGATATGGCCTGAAAAACCAAAACCAAAGCAAGCCGAAGTCAAACCCACACAGATAAAGAGGCATCATATTCAACTGGGTTAGTGATGCATTTTCATGAAGTATTGTTAACTCTGCATCTGGAGGTCTCCTGGAAGGCCCATGTAACATCTCTTCTTCCAAAGAGAGAGACTTAGGTTTTACTATTATAATGATGATGATGTTGATGATGTTGATGATGATGGGGCATGTGGCCACAGGGCAGTTTGAGAGAATTGGTGTTTTAATGGCTCTGTATTGAACAATGCAAGATGCTATTTGAGTGCTTTAGTTGTGTCTGTATATCTGTATTTTTTTTACATTTTGTAATAGCCATTTATTTCATGATTGAATTGATAACATTTCCATTTAAACACCTTTTTAAATATAGCAAGATCAGCTTTACACCTGGGCTGCAGTTAGTCAACCCACGCATTCCATGGATTACAGCGAAGGACAGTTTCCCAGGAGAGAACCATCCACATGGCCATCATCCAGGCTTCCTGATGAAGAGCACAGTCCCAAGGATGTTAACGCAGGTAGGATATGGAACAGCCAGCTTTGCAAGATCATGTGATGTAATGTGTAATTGCAAACATTTGCTGGGTAGTAAGTCTTTAGTTTTTATTGTTATAATAATAATAATAATAATAATAATAATTATTATTATTATTATTATTATTATACATCTCCTGCAGGCAACCCATTAAAATCAATGGGAAGCCTGGGACACTGAAAGTTCTTATGGTTGTCTTCAAAGCTTCAGGACTAGAATGTAGACGGGTAGCAGATATACTGGGATTCTCCAGTAGTTTCTGCATTTACTGAAGTTTGAGAATCACTGTCTACAGATACTCGCCCACTACCAGGTTGAAACTTTACACCATATTTGGGCTAGGAGACCCGTGGGGGACATTTTTGTTTTGTCTGTATGTTTTAACATTCTTTTCTTTACCTATAGAGATAACTGGGAAAGGAAAATAGAGATGTAAATTTGCTTAAATGTCACATTAAAATAATTATAAGATATTCCAATCTTTCTTTTCCTTTTGTTGTCTTGAACTATTTTGTGCTATTGGCTGGGAAATATGAGACTGGCCTCAGTGTTATTTGGAGAAAATCATTAGCATGATGATTTAATAGAATCCAGGTTCTCCTGGTAGACTGAGCAGGAGTAGGTCCCATCTTCTGATATATAAGCCAAGACTAAATAGAACAGATTGTTTATACCCACAGATTCCCCCATACCAGATTTTCATTAGTGATACTGTGGGTTTCAAAACTTAGAACTTGACCACCTGTACTGTCTCAGTGAAAGAGAGATGTCCAAAGACGCTTAATTTTGGCTTGTTGTGCAAGGGCAAAATATAAAACTATGTATCTTGGGCTCTGCAGTACGTAAGCTTTCTGATGTTAGGCAAATGTCCAAACTGCAGTTTCCATTTCCTCGTCTATGAAATGTTAATGAGAATAGCATCTACTTTGTAGCATGATTAGGAGTGCATGAGTTCATATAAAGCATCAGAGTGCAGAATAGACCCAGAGTGCCTGGGTCAATGGAAGTGCTTGGCCTTATTGTTACAACTATTATTAAAGTTATTTCATCTTATTATCTTCCTCATGACTTTCCTTTAAAATCAACAGTGACTCTGTTAATGGTTTGCCAGGCAGCTGTCCACATTTTTTTTTGCACAGAATCCTTACCCTCTTGATATTAATTTCAGTTTGTAGACAAATGTATTTTATCATTTATTCTTTCAAGCAATGTACCAGTACTTCACATTTCCCTCTTTGAATGTCCTGTGTTTTGGAGAAACTGTTTAATATTCAGTAGTTGGCACATAATCCAATAGAATGAAAACCAAACACAAGTGAGTGAGAGAAGATAGAAAACTGTCTCATGGAAGTCAGATTCTCTTTACTACCGCACTCATTGACAGTGGCTGACCAAGGGTCAAGGTAGACTTCCACACATAAAAATCTTTGGAGAAAAGAGAGTTTGGACATGGTAGTGCCTGAAAATTCAACATGCAAATGTAGACACTGTTGGTTGTAAAAAGGGAAGGACTGAAGTAAAGATTTTGATACCATTATCTTCAGGCTAAAATGCTATTGGCTGAAATTTGTAGGTACAAATGCAGCAGTTTTAAGCAATTTCATTGAGAGCCCTAGGAACAATGGTTTCTACCCTTTCATGCATTTGCATCTTTGGTTGGTATAAATTGTGCCGCCCTTACTGTATATTTTCCAACTATTCTGGCAGAAGTGATAACACTATTCTGTAATATTTGGGGATAGTTTAAAATAATTCTGAATCCTTAGGTTACTGAAGGAGCACTTGGCTGAGAATGAGCTAATTGTGTTCACCTGAGTTCTAGTTGATATGGATGGCAGTGGGCCCAGGAGAGGGAGATGATGACTTGCCCTTTTCCTTTATAGATTAACACAGTTTGCAAAATGCCTGAGCAAGTCACTTTTAATACAGTAACTTTTCTCCTTTTAAAATATGCATTCGTGAAGAAGTTGATCGAGGTGAGTAGAAAGTAATTTAAACCACCAACCTGTTTTTCTCTCATTGCTCTGCTCTCGACCCCAATGACCACAAACATTGCTTTGTCCAAAGCACACTAATGTTGCTCCTCCACTCATACTCAGTTGCATTCGTTTGGAAAAACACAAGGAGCCTTCTCATGTCCAAAGAGTCATCCCCCTCCTCTCTTGTCAGTCAAGTGTAAGAATGAGATGCCAGCATCACAGAAAACCCTAGAGACCAATGTTTTGATAATTGTGAGTTTTAATAGTATGCTTATCATTAGTTGTAAACTATTTATTCACCTGACTGCTAGTTACATACTATTGTGTAGTGACACTATGTTTTAAATTGCTAAGTGCAACATGTGGCCACTTCAAAGCTTCTTTACTTTTTGAAGAAGAAAATCTTTCAGGTGCAACTATTTTTTTTTTTTACTTTTTTGATGGAGGGATTTTTTTTCCTTCTACTTCTTTAAAAAAGGGCTGTTAATTCACAGGTCCAGTTAATTCAGATTTGTGCTTCTGCCTCTTCTGATTTTCTCAGGTGTTTAATTTTTCTATAGTCACTTTTTATAAGCAAGGTCACTCCAATCTTTATGTATTCACTGAAACACCAATGCTTCTTAAAATGAATTTTTAGTGCTGAGGCCAAGCTGAAACCTGACACTTCTTCTCACCAGTGAAAGTCCAGATTTGTTTTGTTCTTTTGCCTTCATTCTTCTCCTTATACTGTTGATATTGTCTCTGAGGATAGGCCTCTCGGTGTATAAATTGGCCATTAGAAGTGTGCAGAAGGAATCATAGAAGCTTTAACTCTAGCTGGAATAAGAAGTGAGGGCATGCTATGCTCAACTCCTGCCGGTAGAGGGAGCATTGTTAAAAGGAAACCTCACGTCTTGTCTTGCCTTTCTCATCTTTTCATTTCCCTTTTGCATTACTTTTATTTTTTCTCCCACAACTTATTCGAATATTTTTCTTTTTGCTAATTTTCTGTCCTGTAGTCGTCGGTGCTATAGTAGTTAGCTTTCATCATTTTAAAACAAGTTTAAAGATCCTATTTGGTTTGGTGTTGTAGCTGTTAAAGAAGTTTGCTTTTTCATATCTCTATGGCACTGGGGTAGTAAGTCCTGAAGAGAAAGCTGTTGACAAGCTGTTTGATAAATGAAGTTGGAAGAGGTAGCTATACTAACACAGAAACCCAAGAAGCCTAAAAAACATCAAGGCAACATATTTCATAAGATTATAATTCCTCAGTTACAGAGTCTAAAGATATGAAATGGTTGACATTTCAAACACATGATTCAGTGGTCTCCTTATAAAAATAAGCAAACTTAAAAAGCCTAAAAATAAGCATATGAAGCCGGGCGATGGTGGCACACAACTTTAATCCCAGCACTCGGGAGGCAGAGGCAGGCGGATCTCTGTGAGTTCGAGGCTAGGCTGGACTGACAGCCTCCAAAATAATACAGAGAAACCCTGTCTCGTAAAACCAAAAAAAGAAAAAAGAAAAAAAGCATATGAATCCAGAGAGAAATCTGTCTAGGGCCTGTGTAAGGATGCTTGTAATGTAAAAGGGAAGGTTAAGAATCTGACTTAGACATTCAGTAAGGACATTGAGATTAAAACAACAACAACAAAGAAAACAAATTAAAAATAAACAAATATAGGGAGTGAAAATTTCAATAAACAAAGACCACAGTGGAATGCATCACCAAAGACTGGATCAGTCAGAGCAAAGAATGTAGGGGTCAAGGCAAGGTCAGGGAAATGCAGCATTCCAACATCGGCAAAGAATAAAGAGGAACAGGGACCACAGTGACTTCAGGAACTCTCAAAAATGTTAAGGACACATGAAGCGGCAGAAGGAGATGAGTTTAAAACCAGCGGGCATGAAAAATACACTGAGTGACACTGTAGGGGAAATTCCCCAAACTTAGGGAAAAGAAGAGGACAGCCAAGCCCAGGAAAGAATTTAAAACCCCAAATAGATATGACTGAAAAAAGAACCTTACTATAAAATATTATTAGGTACATACTTTGATCAGAGAACAAAGAAACACCATGATAAGCTGTAAGGCAAAATGTCTAAGTCACAAAGACATACCCATTCTAATAACTAAAGTTGGGAAAGAATTCAATACCCTGGAGGAAATAGCTGCCAGCCAAGATTATTATACCTCGCAAAGTTATCTTTTAAAATCAATGGAAATATAGAAACCTCATGAGACGTGTAAAAATTAATACAGCTTGTGGCCACTCATCTAGCATTGCGGAGGATACATAAAGGGATGTCGCTGCATGGAGAGGATGAAGAGAGATGGCCTTCATTGTGAGCGCACAGGAAATAATAGATTGTAAAAGCAAGCAGATGAGCAGAAGGAATTTAAGAAAGAAACAGATTTATCCAACTCAGTTAAACATCAAACCTCTAGTGTGATGAAGTAGAGGGAGAAGAACAAACACATTAAAATAAACACAAAACATCCAGTGCAATCAGGAGAAGCAGCAAACCCTCTCAATAATAAAAGAAAACGGTCTTCGTTCTCCAGTTAAAAGACGCAGAAAGCTGATTGGATTGAAACCAATCCAGCTATTTTTTTCTTGTTGTTGTCACAAACAAACTTCACTTGCAAAAATACAAAGAAACTGGAAGTTAAGAGGATTGGAATTTACCTCCAAAATGGTTAAACTCAACAGAAATAGTAGCTGTACTCATGTCAGATGAAGTAGAATTGAAGTCAGAGTAAGACACAGGTGATAAAGCTAACCATACACTAGTAAAGTGAATAATTGCAAATTGTAAGCTTTGCCACATTAAGTTTCATAAAAGAATCACTAAGGGGTCAAATAGGGCCAGGCATAATAATAGTGTTTTTTAACCCGCCAGTGCCATCAATAGAGTGATGACCTATAAAAACTACTAACAAAGAGATACATTATTTCATAAATCAGATGGACTTAATAGACATCTAAAGAATTTGTCTAACAACTGAAGCTGAAGAATACA